CGCGAAGAAAAAACGAATGTGTCCCGCATGGTATTATTTGACAGGGATGATGGCCCTGGCAGGTGCGCAACCGTTGTCGCAGAAGTTCGAAAAAGTTGCTCGCAAAAGCCCGTTTGACAGAAATGTTTAAAAAGTGTTGGGTTTCCTACGAATCCGCAAGAGCGCGCGGGATGAGATTTTGACAATTTGTTTGTTGAAGAACCATTGGTTTTTTGATGTTTTTATGTTAAAATCGCTGCGAACACTAAGGTTTTGGAAGGATTTCGTCTTGCGCGCGCGAATGTCCACTTTACCTTATTTTTTGCAAGGGATTCTTGAAATTTGATTATATTAGAACAAGAAATGTCATTTTCTATTGTTTTTTGCAAGGGAAAGCGGATTACAACAAAACAACCGGATCCTGTACACACCCTCTTTTCTGAGGCTTCCTCACGAAAGTGATGAAAATGTAGCTGCGGCCTAGGCGGCGCAGGGGGGGCGCGCACCAGGGGGCCCAACAATAATTATTCTTTAGAATAAATAATGTTCAACAACAACAACAACATTCGTCTCAAAGGAGTCACCTTTCCCAGCATATCGCCTTGGTGTTGCTCTAAGACCAGCCCCAGCGGCCTGCAAGAGGGTCCCTGGAGCCTCCGATGGCCCCGAAGACGTCCCAAAAGGATCCCAAGACGGCCCCCAAATGGCTCCATAAGCCCCCAGGAGGCCTCCAAGAGGTCCTCAAGTCGACCGTCAGACCGAAGCGCGTTCGGAGATACGCGCGATTTTTCTCGGGCACGTAGGCGCTCGGGGCATCCTCGGGAGCTCCTGGGGTTCTCTAGGGGCGTCCTTCGGCCCCGAGGACTCAGTTTTGAAGCAGCGGGGGAAGCTTGCCACCAGCATTGGGGCCGCATTGGGGTACTGCTGGGCTGTCTTGTAGCTGTTTGCTGTCTCCCGCAGTACGTGAGCCCTCCTGGGGCTGTGCTGCATCAGTCTTTGGGCACTTCTTGGGCAGAGGGTCGCGGGAGGGGCAGGACATTACGCGGGGGCAGAGGAGGACGGAATAGCCAAAAGGGAGGGGAAGGGCGGTTGGGGGTATCGGGATGCAGGAGGATCGGCAAAGGACGAGAAGAGAAAGGGAAGTGGGAGGAGTGTGGAGGATGGGCGTTGAGAAAGTCGACGTAGGGAAGTCTCGAAGCTAAGAGAGAGCTGAAGGGAAGGGTGCAGTGGAGACTTCCGCACGCAGGATGCCCTTGCGGGCGTCGCCGCTTGAATTTCGATTCCTCATCCTCTCCATCCCTCATCATGCTCCCCCTCTCCCCTACTCATCTCTCTTCCTCTCCCTCTCCCTCTCACTCTCATCCTCCTCATCCTCCTCGTCCTCCCTCGGCTGGTCCCCTAAACCACCACCTGGTTTGAGAGAAACTCCCAGCAATCACCTTGCAGCCGAGCCGCAGCCACATCGAACACAACTGCATCCCAGACCTCCGGCGTTGTGACTTCTTCGCAACGTGGGACCCGAATCCGTGGGGCTGGCTTTTCGACACTGTGACACGGGCCACCTTTCGATGCCACCCGGGCTCGAAGCGGGCCCAAACCAATGAAACATTCAATACGTCCTGATTGTGTCGAGACGATGGAAGGATGCCGCACCACGCAGCCCCCCCACGGCTGCCCCGCACGACGGGCAACTGGCTCGTGCCACCCGGCTTGCGGGTCCTCTCCGGCCTTCGTGTGTGAGCCGTGCTCCTGGCCTTCCGCCCATCCTGGGGCCCCTGGAGCCCTTCCTGGCCCCGCGTGAGGGGCGCCCGGAGGGCATGGGAGCCTCCCGGGAAGCGCAGGGGCCACTTCGGGCCAGGGGGGGGGCACCTCTGGCAGCACCCGAGAGGAACCATCGGGTGCAGAGTCGGGGGCCCCGCGGAGGATGTGAAGTGGCCCACTGCGGGGGAGGCCGCGGGCCATCGACCTCGCCTCCTCTGCAGGGCAAGGGGGTGCGCCGGGGCCGACCCCTCGCGGCATGAAGTCCCTCAACGGGTGCCCCCCCCCGGTGCGAGGCAGCCACGTGGATGCTCCCAAATCTGCAACCAGGATGCTCCTGCGGCCAGGTGTTTTCCTCACGCCGCGGCGCTGGGCCAGTGCAGCCGAGAGGCGCCATGCTAGCCCGGCCCTGGGGAAGCCGCGGAGGCGTCTGCGCACTTCAACGCCTGAGCCTTGAGGTGCCAGATCTGCTCGCTCTGCGCGTGGTACGCTGCCTGCAGCCTCTCTGGCTCCTCCCGCAGGCGCTCGTTGTGGCGCTCCACGTCGCGCAGGCGCTCCCGGAGGCGCTCGACCTCCAGGCCTGCGCCCTGCAGTTCCCGCATCTCCGTGGCTGCTGCAGAACTCGGCGGGCACAGAGGGGCCGCCGGGCACGGTGGGGCCTGCGGGCACGGTGGGCAAGATGCCACCGCCGCTGCTGCCGGACACGGGGGGCAGGCACTCTCCACCGCAGGGGACGCGGCGACGCACGGGGCGCACGCCGGGCACGGCGCGCAGCCTGCACCCTCCGCGGCCGCCAGGCCGCCCGCGGCAGCGCCCGGAGAGGCGGCGCCGCCGGCGAGCCGCGCGCGCCCGGCGAGGGGGCCGAGCAGGAGCTGCTGCCCCAGGGCCCGGCCCTGATGCTCCGCGGTGGCCGCCCCCGGCCACGGCGCGTCGCCCGCTGGCGCCGCGGCCCAGGCCGCGCCGCGCGCGGCCTCGGCTCGCAGGGGCTCCGCCTCCAGCCGCAGGCGCTCGCGGCCCGCGGCGCAGGCCCGGAGCTCCGCGGCGAGCGCGTCCCGCTCGCGCAGGGCGGCCTCGAGCCGCTCCTGCAGCGGAGCGCAGGCGCCGCCGCCCGCCGCCGAGGGCCCGCGCTCGCACGGGTCGCCGGCGGAGAGCACCAGCGCCACCAGCGCGGCCACGCAGAGGGCAGCGGTGGCGCCCAGCGCCCCTCCGGCGGTGGCCCCGATGCGCTCGCCCCCGCCGCGGCCCGGCCCCGCCCAGGCCGCGGCCACCCTGCGGGGGCTGCCCACGCCGGAAGCTGCGGGCCCCAAGAGTATCCACCACCACCACCACCACCACCACGTCGATCCCTCCTCCCTCCTCTACCCTCTGCTTCCTCTCCTCCTTCCTGGGGGAGGGAGGCAGTGATCGAGGGAGGTGGTGGTGGTGTACACGTTTGGGACCCCCGTATGGAGGGGCGGCCGCGTCCGCCTCGGCCGCTGCAGGCACCGGCGCGGCGCGCCCCGGCCGGCGCTCCCTGGGGAGCCTGCCCGCATGCGCGCGGGGCTTTCGGTGCACCCTCGGCCGCACGTCCCCCTCGAGCTTCCGGCGGCGCTTCGCGAGCGCCCGCAGCAGCTCGCTCTCTTGCTCCTCGACGGTCAGTCCGTCGGTGTCAACCTCTGCTTCGGCATCATCCTCCGAGGAGGCGGAGGCCGCGTGCGAGGCTGCCAACCCCGGGCTTGCACCGTGGCCAGAATCGGGAGGGGCTACGGCTGCAGCCTCTGCGGGAACCAGAAAGGTACCGTTGCCGCTGCTCCCCGCGGACCTCTCTGGGGCCGCGTCCCGACCAGGACTTCGAGGCGAATCCAGGCTGTGTTGAATTGTATACGTGTGAGGGCTCCCAGCAGGCTTCACCAGATAGGGGACCCCGAGGCGAGGCTAACTGAGCGAAAGGCCCGAAGAGAGAGGAGAGGAGGAGGCGCAGTTCGCTGGAAGGGGGGAGGAAGGGAGACGGTGAGGGAGAGGATTAGAGGAGGGGAGGGGAGGAGGAGGAGAGAGAGGAGGAGCAGGGGGAGGTGGGAGGAGGAGGAGGAAGAGGAGGAGGAGGAGGAGGAGGAGGAGGAGGAGGAGCAGGAGGAGAAGGAGGCAGCGGCAGGGGTACCTTCTCTCCTCCTCCGAGCCTCCGCCTGGAGCACCTCCATGATCCTGGCGAGCTCCTCCTCCGAGAGGCTGGCCAGGGCCTCCTCGTCCAGGCCCTCGGGGCCAGAGGCCGCCGCGGGTGCACGGCAGCCTGGCAGGGAGGTGCCCGCGCCGGCGCCGCAGAAGCGGCCCGAGGCCATGCCTGCGCCGCCGCGCCCAAGAGGAGCCGCTCGCACCCCTCGCCCGCGGGGGCCTGCGGCAGAAGCGCCGACGACCTGAGCCCGAGAGGTTCTACAGCCGGCGCGCTGCCGTGAGGAGCGCCGAACGAGGAGCGGAGGGCCTTTCCTGACCACGACTGGGCTCCCCGACCTATAGATCGCGGCTCGAAAACCGGAGCCCCTCCTGAGCCCCTCCTGAGCCCAAAATGGTCCTTCTGTCAGCACCTTGACTGTACGGTCAGGTCGGCATGTCCTCCCGGAGGCGGATTTGGGATGACAAATCAGCAATGCCCCAAAAATGCTATAACACTAGTCAGAGACAATGAAAAATTCGTCCCCGGACTACGTCTCAATGTTTTCGAAGACTCCACCTATAGAAAGACATGCCCGACTTGACTGCACGGCGGAATGGCGCCCCTGGCGATGGAGCGAGAGCGGCTGAGATCGGCGGGCCCCGGCGACGGCACGACGGAGCATCGGAGAGTGGCAGCAGCATGCCGAGTCTCCACGTCAGGAAGCCAGTTTCGGGCCCCGGGGGGGCCCTCGAGGAGCGATAGGCCAGGGCACAGGAGGGTCCGAAGAGCCCTGCAGCCCAGCGTCATGAACGGGTGTCTTCGGACACGAGGGCCAAGCAAGTCCGCGGAGGGGGGCACGCGCGCGCGGCTGCGCACCACCGCGGGCGCGCTCCTTCTACTTCAGGTTTTACAGGTCGCACCGTGCGCGCACATGCGTTCTGAGAGCACACGTGGACGCAGGGCTGCACCTAAACGGCGTGTTTCGTGTTCGTTGTGTTTTCGTTCTCCCTCGTGTTATCGTCGATTCGCCTTTTACTGTAAAACGAAATTGAAACGAAAACGGCCCACGAAATCGCCCAAACACCGTTTAGGTCCAGCCCAGCGGGGACGTGCCCAGGTGCATCGAGGCGCTGGCCTCCTCCAGCCAGGCGTCGAACTCCTCGTCGGTCCCCCCCGCCGAGGGGACGTACTTCGAGGCAAGGCCTACGCTCTGCATCGCGGCAGCTGCTGCCTCGGCGGTGGCCCCCGCCCCATCCCTGGTGGCGCGAGGAAGGGCAGAGGCAGGAGCACGGGCGAGGGAAGAAGAAGGATACAAAACGGGCGGATGGAGGAGTCAGGAGGAGTGGCTACCAACCAGACCACCCCGACCCAACCTGAGGTCCAAACTTTCGGGTTGGGGGGCTTAGGGGTTCCACCTGTGTCTTTGCTTCCATGTTCCGGGATGATCCCTCACTGGGATATGGAGGGCAAAGTGGGGCATCGCGTGCAAAAACGCCGTCGCGGCGATTCCGACTCCCTCGCGTCGGACTCGCCGTCTGAGACGCCTCGGAATCGCAGTCGCGGCGCCCGCGCCCAATCCACGTAGAGCTCCCAAGAGACAGGGTCACCAGAATACAGAGGGGAGCAGTGAGACGATGAGTGGCCGAGCGAACAACACACAGATACCCATGGCAGTGCGGACGCGGCCGCGAGAAACCCTCGCAGGAAACCCAGCCCCGAAGCCCGCAGGCACGAGACGCAAGCGGGGGAGAGCCCAAAAAGCACCCCGAGCGCAACAGCTCCTTCTCAACGGCCACAGGGATGTCGCCGCGCAGCGCGCGCGGAGCGAAGACACCCGGGGCACCCTCACGAAAAGCAGATGGCTTCTTGATGCGCGCCCACACTGCACCGGGGACTGAGAGGGGGCTACGTAGCCAGTCCTCCTTCCTCCGACCCCCCTTAGGGGTATGCGTGTGTGGTGTTCGTTCGCCATCAGCTGTGAACGGCGTTCGGGGCCTCCGCTGCGCGGGCTTCGGCTGCTTCAGCTGCCGCCTTTGCAGCGGCTTGCCTCTTCTTCTTGTGCTTCGACTTCTTTCCGCCCGAGGCGTCGTTCACCTCGTTGTCGTCCTGGTCCTCGCCATCCGCAACCTGTCGCCAGATCGGTGGGCCACTCGCTTGCAGGCGGAGGCGGCACGACCGACGGAACGGAAGGGTGGCGAGGTCGGCGACGCTGGGGACCGATGGAGGAAGACGGAAGGCTCCCCCCCATAGAAACTCAGCGTCGTGGCTTCTGCGCACCGGCGAAGTAATCGGGGGAGAGGTGCTACAATTCAGCATGGGGCCAGAAAACAATCTGCGATCAATACATGCCCGCGCTGTGCGCCTCTGCCGGGATAGCTGGTATGCCCCTTCTCCCATCAAGGGTTGCAATCATGTCTGAGCATTGGCATCTCGGCCGCAAGGTTGCGAGTCGTTGGCAAATGAACGGGAAGTCTTGGCGTCCGTGGGATACCCAACAACGCCAAGGTCGAGCTGCCACGTGATTCCCGATTTCCCCTTGTGCCTCTGAGAGAACGATTGGGGTCCTGTCAATGTCGGACACGCGAAGTCTGGTTAGCTGCATACTTTTGTCGTCGCGCTTCGATCGAGCACAGGAACGATTCGCACGTCCGAGTGAGGGGATCGAAGCTGCGCGAATCAGATTCAAGTCGCACACGTGTTCCAGGCTCGTTCCGGGGGGAGCGAGCGCCACTGCATTGCTGCCATTGTTCATCTTCCGAGGGCATGGGGGCCCGGTGGGGCCCGGCGGGGGATGACCCGCGTCACCGTGGTGGGGGGCTCCAACATATACACCGCCACCACCTCCCTCACCCCCTCCCTCTCCCAGGAGGAGAGGAGCGGAAGAGCAGGGTGGAGGAGAGAGGAGGAGGAATCGACGTGGTGGTGGTGGTGCATCTTCTTCGGGCCCCCACGTGGGGCCAGCTGTGGGCGACGGCCCTGTGGGCCGTGCAGAACGCACCGCTTCAACGAAGGATTGCAAAAAAACCGAAGGATTGCAAAAAACGAAGGACTGCAAAAAAACGAAGGATTGCAAAAAAACCTAGGATTGCAAAAAAACGAAGGATTGCAAAAAAACGAAGGATTGCAATCCTTCGTTCAAGCGCCTGGGCCCTCCTGCGCCCGCGCACGGCTCCTGCGCCGACCTCGCGCTCGCGCCTGGGCGCCGCAGCTCCGCGGGCCCTCGAGGTCGGCAGCGGGGGGCCCAGGGGGCGGGGTGGCCCGAGGGTGAAGGGGCCCCAGGACACACACACACACACATAAATACACACCAATAAAAAAATATTCCCCATATTTTCCCATATTTTCTGGATTTCTGTCTTCCCCCCCACTTCCCATAGTTTCCTGTACTTTTCTGGGGAATCGAGGATTCATTGTGTCTGTGTGTGTGTGTGTGTCTTTTCCTCCTGAGAGGGCCCTTAAGGAACCCGAGGCCTGTCGCCGTGGAGCCCGGAGCGTGCGCCGGCTCCGGGCAGCACAAGATCCCACTGCCAAGGCAAGCGGGGTCCAGAGGTGTGACCCTTTGCTCTTCTTGTGGCTGCTTGAGTATGGCGTGCATCACACCTGCCAGCCGGACACTATACTGCTTAAGATCTCTTACGGTCGGTGCATGCGGCAGGCTTCATGGTGCGCTGCCTTTTTTCATCACAAACTGAACTTTCGGTGATTCTCTGCCCTGGGTCTCACATGTCGACTCCAAACTGGTCCCTCGCTTCTGTTCACGTCTGCGGGGGCGATGGCTACCGTCGTTACCGCTACTTCTGCCCCATCTCAACGCTTGGTGCGACGTTAGATCAATATCAAAGCAGACTCGCGAACACTCTTGCACGAACGCCACGCTGAATAAGAAACATGACACACCCAATTTCTGGCGTACAGTAGGGTCCCGACCACAAGAAACCTTCCACAAGAAACCCAACCCTGAACCCCCCCGACGTCCATCGAATTTTGGCGTGGGAACATCACGCCTTCCACGGAAAAACCATCGAAACCCAAGAAACCCAGGGCACCCTGGAGGCAAGCAGGGTGTTTCTCGGCATGGGCCTCCACTGCAGCCTGTCCCGCACAGGTGGCGCCCTTCGACTGCCAGGGAGGCCCCTGTCGTCCTGCTCGACTCCTCGGCATGTCCGACGCTGCTCTGGGGGGGGGGCCCGAACCACAGGTCCTCAACACGGATGGGCAGCTGACAGGCATCTGCAGAGTCCGCGACGCGTGGCGTCTAAGTCCAGGGAGGAGGCATGGGTAGGCAGGGGAAATCTTCGAACAAGGCGAGGGGCCGGCCAGGCTCTGCACACTGCAAGCCGTCCGCACGGCAGGACGCGGACAAGGGGAACGCTGGGCCCCCCTCTCTCGAGCAAAGCTGCGGCCTCCTCCTGGACGGCGGCATCAGGCTCTGCCTCTGCCATGGCCGAGCGGGCGCATGAACTGGGCAATGCCCATCTGACACGCCGGAAACGTCGAGCCAAAAATGGCTATGAGGGGCAAGGCTCAGCGGCGCTAGGAACGTGCAAACTCCCCTGCGGCTGATGTCATATCCGAGCTTATCAACTCTGGCATGCGCTCGAACCGTAGATCAGCGGGTCCTTTTGAAAGTATGCATCAGGCCCCCCAGTACGCTCAAAAGGCTGAGCTGAGCCTTCTGGAAACTCGCATTAGCTTGAGATAAGATACGGATGCCAACCCTAGAGATGGATCATTTCAGCAAAATGGGAAAGCAAGTACGCAACTTGTGGAACTACGAACACCCACATTTTCATCACTCGACACCGCCGTGCAATACCATGCAATGACCCCTGAGCGTCCTGATCCTAGGTCACCGAACTTCGCGCCTGGTGCTGAGCACATCGTGACGACCGATTGTGCTCACTCTCTCGCGTCGACCCCTGGAAAAGAGCGGTTCTCCGGCGAAGACCGCGAAGCGTGAAGCGAACTTCCCTTCGCGCCCCTCCAGGTGCACCAGCGGCAAGAGGAGCCGATCTGTGTACACGAATGTCCTACTTACTACGATCATGCCAAACAATCACGAAGGTCCTACTTTCTACAATCATCCAAAACAAAAACGCCGGCGCTACCACACGAGCGCCAGCACGACCGATCTCCGCCCACGCCAGCCCTCGACTCGGTTTCGCCTTCTTCTCCTGTCGAGGATGCTCGGGGACAGGGCGCCACCGCTGAGAAGTAAATTGGGCGTTGCCCCTGCATGTCGGACGTATGAAGCACCAGCGGGGGGAAAGAACTTCAAGAGCCGAACCCCGGTGGGGTTGTCCGACACCCCAGCGGCGGTTGGAACCAGAGGGGTAGGGTTCGCAAGTGTTCACAAATACGATCAGGCACTTTCGTTCAGCGTGTCGCACTGGCGTCCTCCGCCGACACCCTGTGCCCTGCGAGATAGCGTCGCTCCGCTCCGCGGGGCGGGAGGCTCGGAAAGACTCGGAAACGTGGGCGCCTCGGGGCCGCGCAGCGGATGGCGTGTCGCGCCGAGGCGTGACACGCTAATCAAAAGTTCCGGGGGAAACTAAAAGGTACCGAGACCGCTACTCCACGGACCTCTCCTGGGGTTCGTTCTGACCCGAACTTCGAGGCGAGTCCAGCGGTGGCGACGAGGGCCTCCCAGGAGGCCCGAAAAGGGGAATATGAGGCAAGGGTAGCGAAATCGGTACCTTTTCCTCCTCTGACCTGCGCGGCATCGGCGACCTTGCGCGGTGCCCTGTTGGGGAGGGGGGTGGAGGGGGGTGAAATAGAGAATAGCAAGGAGGATAGAACAGAGGACGAGGGCAAGGACACGCCGCGTTAGATCATTCGAACCCAACACCAGAAAACTGCCCAGTGGATTTCCGTAAGAAAACGTTGGCCACTGTAACCCAGCAATGGGGCGAGGCGTCGGGGAATTTAGCAAAGCGAAGCGGGCCCCATCTCAGAAGCCATGCGAAGGCTGGCAGACCCGTAGATTGTTTTTCTTCTCCCGGGAGAAGCAGCCCGTTTACTACTTCACGCGGCAGCGCGAAGTAGTAACGGGCTATATAGCTTGTGATTCCGGGAAGACCGTTTCTCGGGTCGGGCGAAAGGGGGGGATAGCAAAGGGGGGGGGTGAGAATCAGCTCACGTAGCTGATTTCCCCCCCTTCCTTTCCCTCTCCGTCTCCTCCCGTAGCCACTTTTGCTCAAAAATGCGCCCAATATTACCCCTCGTCTGTGGGCCTGAGAAAATGCACATGGAGGGGGCGCAGTAAACGCTTTCACATCGAAAGATAACCCTCGTCCGCCGTCAATCGTTGTTTCCCTGAAAAGTGAACAATGATTGACGCCCGACCCTCAGGGTAAGAACCCTTCTAGGCAGCGCCCAGGTAGGGAATGAGATAAGCAACGCGAAGCTAAGGGAACGTCACTGGGGGAACTGCGGGGCGCATACTGGGGGAACCGCCTGGGGCGGGCCCCACTGCCCGGCCCTTGAAGCTCACCGAGTAAGAACCCTTCTAGGCAGAGCCTAGGTAGGGAAAAACTCGGAGGTCCGCGCGGATTTCTCGGATCGGCGCTGGACCCCCCTCCCTGGCGCGCGGAGCGCGCCAGGGGCGGCGCCGGAGGCGCCGCCAGGGGGGCCCAGGGCGGATCCGAGCAAATCCGCGCGGACCTCCGAGCTTTTATGTTTATGTCATTCTTCGTTCCCCTGGGGGAGGGCTGGAAGTCCTCCCCCAGCCTCCGACCACCGCAGCATGGTCGGGGCCTCCCGCGGGGACCGCGCGGGCCGCCGGCGCGGCACGCCGCGCGAGAGCGAGGGCGCGGGCCGGGCCATGCGCGCCAGTGCCGGCGCGGTGGGCCCCCCGTGTCTCTCCGGCGGCCGGGGCGCGGCGGAGCTCCGGAGGCCCTAAACACACTTCGGTCGGGCACGTCCCCCTGCAGGCGGGAGCGGCCAAGAGGGGGGTGTCCAAGAGGGGGGGGTGCAACTCATGACCGGCGGCACGTGCGCGGCCCAGCGGGGGGTCCAGGGACGGAATGAAACAGGTAGAGGCGCCATGAAATCTGGGGAAATATCATGGCCCCCGCCACGATATATCCCCCCCCCCCCCTAGTCATCACCCCCCTCTTTTCCGCCCCCGACTAAACACTTCGGTCGGGCACGTCCCCCTACAGGCGGATATTGGGCGAAAGTCGAGAATAGTCAAAAACTAGCCCAACATAATCCACAGATCATCGAATCCTCGTCCCCAGGCTGTGTTTCTTGGGTATTTTGGGAAGATTCCTCCTGTAGAGGGGCAGGCCCGACTCAATCCGAAACATCGAGAGGGAGTCGCCGTGCTGATCTCTCCTGGGCGCGCGGGACGCCAACGTTCGGGGGGGGGGGGGGGCGAGAGGGCAGGATAGCGCAGGGTGGGGTAGAGGACTGGTAGGCCCAATATAGCAGGATAGCAGGATGGCTCACGCAGGACAGCAGGGTAGGATGACAGCAGGATAGGGCAGGATAGGGTAGGATAGGGTTGGATAGTCTGGGCAGGGTAGGATAGCAGGATGGCTCACGCAGCTGGTGTTCCTGGGCGCCTCCTGGCGCCGGGAGGCGCCCGCGCATCCAGGCACATGGAGACCCCGCGGCGGCGGGGCGGAAAACCGGCTGCGTGCAGCAGATTTCATATACCCTCCACCCCCCTAGGAAGGCACCAACTATACACCAACACCGATCCTGGCCAGGATCACCCTGGGCCCAGGATCGGTGTATACGCCCTCCTGCCTTGGGCAAGAAGGCATAGACACCGATCATGGGCCCAGGGTGATCCTGGGCCAGGATCGGTGTTGGTGTATAGTTGGTGCCCTCCGACCCCCCTCCGTGTGGCCCGACCAGGGCGTGCGGGACGTCTATGCCCAGAGATCCGACGCTGCGAACAAGCTGCGGCATCGCCACAGAGATCTCGCCCGGAACCGTGGTCCCCAGCTTTCCTGCGCCACTTTTCGAGCCGGATCGAGCTGCATAAGGGTGCCGGGGCCGGGAACCTGACGAAAACGCTCCGCCCCAAGAATGTGAAGCTTGCCAGCCTCGAACGTATCCCTATCCCTGAGGTTGACACGCCAGAAGGCGATGACAATCTTAGGGATGAGCCCTCAAAGAGGAAGGGAATCCCTAGGATTGGCATCGTGACGAGGAGGTGCCCAGCATAGGGATAGGGGTATGTTCCAGGCTGGTAAGAAGCGCCAGGATCTCAGGGTGCGTGGCCGGCACGGGGTCGGCGAGGAGGCCGTGGCCCCGGGCAGGTGCTGCCGGGGTGCCTGCGCCGCCGCCGTCGGGGGGGTCCCGAGGGCCACGGCGGAGGGGGGAGGGCGAGCGGAGAGGGCCCCCCGAGCGGGCGAGGCGAGGCAGGGCCACAGTCGGACCTGGGCCAGAAGAGCCTCCCTCAAGAACACGACCCTGGGCCAGAAGAGCCTGGGCCAGAAGGGACATCGCCCCCAGACCCCCCAGGCCCTCCAAGATAGCCTGGAAGAGACCCCCCCCCCGAAATGAGACCCCCCTCCCTTTTATTACGAAATCTGGAGTAACATCCCTCAAGAACACGAGACCCTCCGCCAGCCAAGCCCAACCAAACATCTCAGGGTGCAATCACAAGAGCGCCCACCAGGCACGAAGGACACTGGGGCACCCTCCCCCAAGCGACCTCGATCTTATAGCTCGGTCCGGCCGTGCCGAGTCCGGCCTCCTCATCCTCGTCATCATCCTGTGCGACCGGGCCTGGGACAGAATGGCACCCTTCCAGCTGGGCGCTGGCGTCCTTCAGGCTGGGCGTCGCTCAAGCGGGGGGGGGGGCGATGCACTGGTGGGGGGAGAGAAAGGTGCATTTTTCGGACCCCAGAGGGCACCTTTGGCACCTCCTGGGCCCCAGGGGCCCCCCCCTCCGGGGCCCTGCAGGGCAGCTTTTCTGCAGCCTTCGCTGCCCCCCCCCCACACACGTCCTCGCCCCCCCCCCGCGGAGCGCTGCCCGCTCCTCGTCACCATCCTTTGCGGCTCGACCTGGGACAGAGCAGCATCCCTCGAGAACATGAGGCCCTCCGCCGGCCAGAGCGCACAGAACATCCAAGGGTACTCCAGATTTCGTAATAAAAGGGAGGGGGTCTGGACCCTCCAAGACAAGCCATTGCAGACCCCCCCCCGTGGGAGAACCCCCCAAAACATCGCCCCCAGACCCCCCAGGCCCTCCAAGATAGCCTGGAAGAGACCCCCCCCCCGAAATGAGACCCCCCTCCCTTTTATTACGAAATCTGGAGTAACATCCCTCAAGAACACGAGACCCTCCGCCAGCCAAGCCCAACCAAACAACTCAGGGTGCAATCACAAGAAAAAAAAAAGAAAAAAAACAAAAAAAAACAAGAGCGCCCACCAGGCACGAAGGACACTGGGGCACCCTCCCCCAAGCGACCTCGATCTTATAGCTCGGTCCGGCCGTGCCGAGTCCGGCCTCCTCATCCTCGTCATCATCCTGTGCGACCGGGCCTGGGACAGAA